GATTACCGGATAAGGTAATTCCTCCCCCAGATGCTTTTTTCAAACTTTACTTAAAAAAGGATAGTCAAAATTCCGAGCATTATGAGCCACCAAAACACAATTTTCCCAGTCTTTTTTTAGTCGGGGTAAAATTTGGTTAATTTTGGGAGCCTTTTTTAACTCCTTGGGGTCAATGTCAGTATACCAATTAGCCAAAATTTCCGGAGCAATCTGTTTTTCCGGACAAACTAAATATTCCCCTTCCCGAATAATTTTCCCGTTCTGATAAATTACGTATCCTATTTCAATAATTTCGTTGTAAGCCGCAAAAAATCCGGTGGTTTCTAGGTCAAAAACGCAATAAATTAAATCGGTTATTGGCACTGTTAAAAGTTTCTGATTAATAGCAGAATTGTGGTTAAAAATGTAAGGTGGTAAATCATCTTCTAGCATTTCTAATTCGCAGCCGTAAATAATTTGTAAATCCTCAGTTTGTTCTTGGCTAAATTCGGGAAAAATTTGCACGTTATAATGGTCGGTTATCGCCAAAGCCGCGTAATTTTTGGCTCGGGCACTTTTGACGTAATCGGCGGCATTACTTATCCCATCGAGCGTGCTAAATTTAGTATGAATGCCCAATTCAAATATTTTTCTCTCTTTTCATTCGGGTGGGAGGGGAAAGAGTTGATTATTCGTTGTTGAGGACTGGACCAAGTTATTTTTTGTGGCTTTTTCAGTTGGCAACTTTAGGGGGAGTGTTGAGTGATTTTCCCCGTTCTTTTTCCGTAAAGAAAAACGAATATTAGTCAAGCCCAACTTATTTAATATTTCTTTGAGAGCAGTAATTTTGGGTTGCCAAGTCTCCAAATCATCTTTTTTGGCAAAAGTTCAACAAACAGTATTATCTTCGTTTTGGTAAACGAACTCGGTCAGTGATTTTTCTTGTTGACAAAAAAATAATAAATCATTTTTGTTTTTTCAAAAGAAAGGCGTTGCTCAAATTAGGGAAAAATACTCCTGAACGGTATTTTTGTCAATTTGCGGGCTTGCTTCGGTAATTTTTATTTGGTAATCAAGGTAAGCAAAAAGATAATTTAGTTTGTGATAAAGGGAGTATAATAATTGGCCAGCCGCTTCGGCCGAAAGCAAAGAAGGAGCAATAATTTCCAAACCGAGAGGAGCAGACAAAGTAATCTCAACCTTACTTAATTCTGGATGATTTTCAAGGGCAATTTCCGACCGAAAAAGATAAGACATCTGTTAAGATTATTTAATCCCAATTTTTATTTTCCTTAAATAAGCATATTTGGTATGGTAATAAGCATTAAAGTTACTAATGTAAAGAGGAATGATGGGAAATTACGAAATACGAAACGAGGGTTAAAATTCATTAAAATAGATTACAATACAATAGATTTGAGATAAAATTATGACTCATGCCACACCACCACCACAACAACAAGAGAGAGAGAGAGAGAGAGAGAGAGAATTATTATGAAATTCTGGGAGTAGAACCAACTGCTTCTGAGAACGAAATTAAAAAGGCTTATCGCAATTTAAGTCGGGAATATCATCCGGACCGAATAGGCAATAAATCCGTAGAGGAAGGAAAGTGTTGCGGGAGTGTAGCATGGAAGGAGGCGAAGACAAAATGCGGTTATAGTAGAACAAACGAGGAAGAAAAATACTATTGCTCCCAAAATTGTCGCGATTTTTGGCTGGCTAGCGAGAATTGATTTAAGGAAATTAGTCAGGCTTACGATGTTTTATCGGACGAAGAAAAGAGAAGAGATTACGATAGTGGAGGGTCGGGTCGTGATATTAACGATATTAATGAATACCGGGCGGAGGTTATTGCCGACATTGAACAAATTATAAGCGAAAAAAATTTGACGGCGCAAGATTTAGCAAATTGCAATATGTCACCTAATTGGAAAGAAATTGTTAATGCTACTGAGGGTCGAGACAATATTGGACAACACTTAATAACTTTCTCTCTTTCGGCCAGAATAGTAGAAGAACAAAAAAAGTTAAATCCGTGGGCATGGGTTTGATGGTTAGTGGTATTGGTGGCAATTTTTAGTTGCGATTATTATTCGCGGAAAAAAAATCCTCTTGTTACTGCGGAGGAAAAGAAAAATCGTCGCGACCATCATCAACGCTGGTTTTGATATATTTTTATCGGGCAAATAATTTGAGGAGTATTTTTGGTCAAATTTATTTTTAAATCTATTTTTGCTAACCGAGCACTAATGGAAAAGATATTCGAGATGCTAAAATGATTTATTGAGGACCAAAACCAATGCCGGGAATTCTTGGCTTTAATCATCGGGGCTTTTGCGCCGTTTTTATTATTATTAGTAGGTAGAACTATTTTTGCCTCTTGACTTTCACACTTAATTAGATGGTCGGTATTCAACCACCAATGCGAAAAAGAAAAAACGGCGGCGGGAAAAAAATAAAGTGACGATTTAATTCATTTTAACTCTTTCTTTGTGGTTTCTATGATGAAATTTTATTCACTACTTTATTATTTATGTTTGAATTATATTTTAGTCTATCTTCTAATTGGCTTTTTTTGGCTCTGGTTCAGAATGAAAATTGCTTAATTAGTCTCCAAAAAGAAAATACTCGACTTCATTCAGAAAATTTTATAGATTATTTGCGACAAGTTTGTGAAAAAATTCCCTGTATTTTGGCGGACTTAAACAAAATTTATTTTACTTCTCTTCCGAGCGGGCAAACCGGATTACGAGTTAGTTTGGCTTTTTTGGCTACTTTACAAGTTCTTAGTCCCCAAGTCCAAATATATCATATCAACACTCTACTATTACAGGCCGGAAAGGAAAAATGTCTTAGTTTGTTAACTATTGACCGTCAAGCCAGTAAATATCATTTGGCCGTCTATCAAGACCAGAAAAATTTAATCGCTTCCGCCGTTATTACCAAAAAAAAATTGGACGAATTAAATCAACAATTCCCTAATTTTCCTACTCTCCAAGATTTTAGCGAAATTGATTTTTTACCTCGTTTCCAACAACTAAAAAGCAGTTTTGTTTTGGTAGAAAAAATTAAGGAAATTGAAGTCTCTTAATTTTTCTCATTATTTTTTTGTTTTTGATTTCGAAAAAATACCATTGCTAAAATGATTAACCCTAATAACACTAATCCTAATTTCACCGACCTGGTTATTTTATCTTTTCTTTTAATCTCTGACTTTCTGTTTAGTAATTCCTGTAATACTTCCTCTTCTTCCTTTAATTTTTCCGTAATTAGTTCATGGTAAGTTTTTTCGTTTTTCCCGCCAGGAATACTATTCAGAGCACTAACTCAAACTTGGTCTTTCCAATCAAGAATATCTCTCAAATTATCTTCTGTTCTCAATCTATCCACATCATTAAGCACTTTTCAAACATAAGTCTCAGCTAGTATTCTATCAATATATTCAATAACTCCCTTCTTAATTTCTTGGGGAGTTCTTCCTCCTCAGTCATCAAGATTATTTTCGGCAAAAATACGGCTAAATTGTCCTTTTCAATCTCTAACATTAACACTTAAATTAATTCTATCTTTACTTATAACTGCAATTTCTTCTCCTATTAATTCTTCGGCTTGTTTTTCTACATCTGAAAGTTCTATTTTCTCTAATTGTCTAAATACTTCGGGGCGGAAATACTTAATACCGTCCGTTTCTCAAAAAAATCGGCTTGGTTGTTTTTTCTCCTTATTTTCCCGACTATCCGAATCCCCGAAACTAAAAGTTTGAGATTTTTTTGAATCGTGGGTAGAGTGATGACCTGTTTCGTTTTTTTTTTTTTTTTTGAATGTCATTGATATGTCCTGCTCTCGCCACATTTTTCCCCGTCGCTAATTTACTTACAGTTTTTTTTTATCTACTTGTTTCTCGCTTTAAGGAAGTTGTCTTGTAATAACTCGCATTTTTGCACTGCGAGCACGACGATTTTCTGTTACTTCTTTCGGCGAGGCCATTAAGGGTTTTTTGGTGAGTATTTGCCAACCAAGTTTACTATGCTTGCGAAACATTTGTTTAACAATTCGGTCTTCTAGTGAGTGATAACTAATGACGATAATTTTCCCTCCCTCTTTTAAAAATTGAAAAGTTTTTTCTAGGGTCTGAGTGAGAACGTTTAATTCTTGATTAACGGCTATTCGTAAGGCTTGAAAAACACGCCGTGCGGGATGCTTTGAAGTTTTTTTTTCTTGACAACCCGCCACAATCCTTACTAGTTGTTGAGTGGTAGCAATTTTTTCCTTTTGGCGGGCTTGGCAAATTTTTCGTGCTATTTTTCTGGCTTTTCTCTCTTCACCATAATCCCAAAAAATATCGGCCAATTCTTTTTGCTGATAAGTGTTAATAACCTCATAAGCAGTTAATTGACTTCTGGTATCCATTCGCATATCTAGGGGGGCATCAAGACGATAACTAAATCCCCTCTTGCTGTCGGCTAGTTGTTCGCTAGAAACGCCCAAATCGAACAAAAAACCGTCGACTTGAAAAATGTTTAAGGCAGTTAAATGTTGTGAAAAATTAAGAAAATTATCATTGATGAAAGTAATGGTTTGGAAAGAAAAAAACGGGTTTTGTTGACAACGAAAAATGGCCGCGGGGTCTTGGTCGAAAGCGATTACTTTGGTTTGGGGACAGTTTTCTAATAAGATTTGGGAATGACCACCGCTACCTAAAGTGCAATCAACATAAATTTCTTTTTCTTTGAGTTGAAAATAATCTAAGACTTCTTTGGCCATTACAGGCCGGTGTGATTCGTTCATTGCAGAGTTTCTGTCTCTTTACCATTTATTTTTGTCTTTTTTTGGCTGTCTTTTTTGAAATCTAACATTCAATATTAATGTTCTTTAAAAAAAACGCTGTTTGGTTTCTTACTTTTTTATCTCTTCTAATATTTTTATTGGTATCGTTGAATTATAAGGAAAATCATGGGCTCTTTTCTCTTTACTTGTAAAATTTTCTTCCGGATTGGCCGAATTTTTTAATTATCACATAATTGTTAATTAGGTCGGGAATAAATTAACTTTTGGGCGTTTTTCCATTTTAATTATCACCATTTATTCGCTAAATGTCAGAAATAATTCCAATAAGTTCAGGAATAAAAAATAACAAGGAATTTATGTAATTGTCAATAAGAAGCAGGATTAAGTTAGGAAGACCAGTGTTTTCTATTTACTAATTATTGACTTTCAACTTTTTTCAAAACTTGTTAATTGGTAAAATGCCAAACCTTGGGTCCAATTATGATAAAAAGAATATTCAGCCATGAAAGCATTCGGTTTAATCTAATACTCTTAATACTAACTAACCACTTTTTTCAAGCGTTGCCAGTCGCTTCGGTCTAACCAGGAACTTTTACGTAAATGTTTTCTTTGTTTGGTTGTCTTGCTATAAGCCAAATGGGAAGTATAAGCATGCCAGTGCCTTAAATTATGACCATCAGACGATTTTTTAAAACGTTTCGTGGCTGAACTTTTCGACCGCAACTTTATTTTTCTCACCATAATAAAAATTATTTATTTTCTGAATACCCTTTTTCTCAAAAAAAATATTTTTAGGATTGTAAGCAAAACTAATTCTCTTATTCATTTCACTGACTTTCTTCTCTCTCTCTCTCTCTCCTTTTTTATCATCACTCATCGTTAAAATATAATTGCCCTTTTCTTTATTGTTTGTTATATGTTTATATTATAAATGTAAATCAACATTGTAAAAATATGTCTACCTCAACAGTATTTACTAAGTCGTTTCTCCACACCAACGAAAAAAATAAACTAAGGTTATTGTTGCTCCTGGCTAGAAATATTATTAGGAAAGAATGAAAATTTTTCCTCCTTTGTTCTGGGCTATCATTTCTGGTGTCTCTAATTAATTACAATCTTGGGGTTAACTTAAAGAACCAGTTTGCATCACTGAAAGAAAAGGAAAGCGATTGAGCTTCAATTTTTAACCGCCCTTTTGAATTTAAATTTATTTTTCTGGGGGGAGGATTAGAATTTAGCATTGACAATTTAAATGTTAGGACTTATCTGTTACTGTATTTGCTAGCCAGTTTTCTGCTTCGGTCACTCTTTTCTCTATTGCATTTCTTTGCCATGTATTACTGTTACAGTTACCTGGCTCTCAAATTAAAAAAAGACTTATTTCGTCATTTTATCCGAGCTAATTTTCCCCAAGGAGCAATGGTAGGAGCCAATCTCATTACCCAGTTTGCTAATGACTTGGATGCGATCGCCGACCACATTTGATTTCTTCCCAACCGCTTGATTTACATAAGCACTACTGTTATTTATCACTTAATTTTTGATTTCAATTTTGGGAAAGACGGAAAAACTAACTGAAATTTCGCGGCCATCCTCTTTTCCTTATTTGCTTTCTTGTTGACTGTTGAGAATTTTCTTTTTCGCAAATCGTCGGAATTAGGAGTAGAAGCCAAAAAAAGAATCGAGAAAGACAATGAAGCAATTTACGAAAAAATTAATAATCTCGAATACATTAAGGCAGTTTCGGGCGAGACTTATGAGAAAAAAAAACTTTTTCAACGCTTAGACGACACTTTTAGACTCAACACCGAAGCTTTGCTATATCGAGTGCTTTTTGAAGCGGTGCCAAATTATGTTTTTATTCCTAACGTTCCTGTTTCCTTTATTTTCCTAGTTTTATTATTAGGACCAGCACTGATGGCAGGAGGAATAAACGATCCGGTTTTTATCGCTGGCCATTTTACTCTTTACTACTTCACGGCCCTAAAACTAAATAGCGAAATTAATAAATTGGTTGACGGGATAACCAGATTAGATGAATTGACAAACAGTTTATTAGTAGTTAAGAGAAGTATAGCCATTTTAAACCGGCCCAGCCCTCTGGCTCTACCGGCTGCGGCGATTTATCCGTGGGAAAATGGTGATATTACTTTCGAAAAGGTAGTTTTTGCTTATCCACAACGAACTTACCAAACTATTTTGCAAAATTTTTCTTTCTGTTTTCAACAAGGAAAAAGTTATGGGATTGCCGGACGCAATGGTATTGGCAAAAGCACTATTACGAAAACTTTGCTGAAACTTTATCCCCTCCAATCTGGGCAGATATTGGTTAACGAGCGGAATATTCAAAAAATAGATACTACTTCTCTCCACGAAAGGATTTGTTACCAAACTAATCGGCCCGGCTTTTCTCGGCTCACTATTGCTGAAAATGTGTTTTATCCCCACTCCTACCAAGAAGAGGATTTAAACAAGTTAATTACGGCTGCTCAGGCGGTGGGAATTTGGGAATTCATTCAACAATTACCCCATCAGTTTCACACTTTACTGGAAGAGGGCGGCCGCGAATTTTCGGAGGGACAAAAACAACAAATTGCGGCCATGAGAATATTTGTCCGTGATTACGATGTTTATATTCTTGATGAAATACTAAGTAATATTCACCCCATGTTGAAAAAAACCATGCTTCATAATATTTTCGCTCGAATAAAAGGTAAAACTGTTATCGTAATTGACCACCACTACGAGATTTTTCAATATCTCGATTATGTTTACCAGTTTACTGGTAAAGCCTTGATTGCCAAGAAAAAAGAAGACTTTTTGACTTAATCATTTTGTATCAATTGTGTAACGATTTCCACTTGGCTCAATAAAAGAACAGTTATTCCGTTGCTTGCTTTTAATTTTTAGCAATTACTAATTTTTTCATAATTAATGCCCGCCTCTTGTCTTTTAGTAATTTGTTATTTAATTGAAGGAAAATTAAAAATGGCTAGAAAGTAACAAAAGGGCAATATCAACTTTGCCACTAATTAATTGCTCGAAAAATTTTTTTTGTTGTTCACTCGTTAAAATTTCGCCCATTACCGGATTTTTTTTTTTTTTTGGTTATTAAACCTGCTAACTCTATCCCTACTATGATTACTAGAACTACTTCTGCGGCTTTGTGATAGTTATTATACTTTTTTAAGGATTTTTCTGATTCTTGGAGACTGCCGATTAACAATCATGAGATTTTCTTCCTTCTGTCGTAAGTTATCTGCTATCTTTAAGTTAATTTAAAAATCTAAAATTTGCGTCGAAATAAATTTCTTTTAAGTTAAATTGTCTAGTAAAAAAAAACATAAGAATAAATATAATATATGGGTTAATTGTTCTCCTAGCAAATAAAAACGATATTTAAATATCTCTTTGAAAACTAGATGGAGTCAGTTACCTGTGAGTGAATTCTCGCAGTTATTTCTTTTAAGAGTTTGATCCTAGCTCAGGATGAACGTTGGTAGTATGCCTAACACATGCAAGTCGAACGGGATTGTAGCAATACAGTCTAGTGGCGAACGGGTGAGTAATGCTTATCTAACTTGCCGATTAGTGGGGGATAACCTTGGGAAACCAGGGCTAATACCGCATATTCTGGCTTTGGCCGGGAAAGGACTTCGGTTCGCTAATTGAGAGGGATAAGTCGTATTAGTTTGTTGGTGGGGTAATGGCCTACCAAGACCATGATGCGTAGCCGGGCTGAGAGGCTGATCGGCCACAAGGGAACTGAGACACGGTCCCTACTCCTACGGGAGGCAGCAGTGAGGAATCTTCGGCAATGGGGGAAACCCTGACCGAGCAATACTACGTGAAGGAAGAAGGTCTACGGATTGTAAACTTCTGTTGGCCGGGAAGAAAAAAATGACGGTACCGGTCGAGAAAGCCACGACTAACTACGTGCCAGCAGTCGCGGTAAGACGTAGGTGGCGAACGTTATCCGGAATCATTGGGCGTAAAGGGTGCGTAGATGGTCCGCTAAGTTAGCAGTGGCAAATTGGGGCTCAACCCCGCGGAAGTTGCTAATACTAGCAGACTACGAGGGCAGGAGAGGTTAACGGAACTCCCGGTGGAGCGGTGAAATGCGTAGATATCGGGAAGAACACCAAAGGGGCGAAGGCAGTTAACTATTCTGGTCCTGACATTGAGGCACGAAAGCGTGGGGAGCAAAACGGATTAGATACCCGTGTAGTCCACGCCGTAAACGATGAGTGCTAGGTATTGGACGTTAGTTCAGTGCCGCTAGGTAACCCGGTAAGCACTCCGCCTGGGTAGTACGCTCGCAAGAGTGAAACTCAAAGGAATTGACGGGGACTCGCACAAGCACTGGAGCATGTGGTTTAATCCGACACTGCGCGTAGAACCTTACCAAGGCCGGTGTTTCGGCAAAAGGAGAGAAATCGAATGGAGGTTATCCGGAATACTCGGTGCTGCATGGCCGTCGTCAGTTCGTGCCGTGAGGTGTATGGTTAAGTCCTATAACGAACGCAACCCTTAGGCTTAGTTACCAGCGGTTAGGCCGGGCACTCTAAGCCGACTGCCTGAGTAATCAGGAGGAAGGAAAGGATGACGTCTGGTCGTCATGGCCCTTATGCCTTGGGCGACACACATGCTACAATGGTTAGGACAATGGGTTGCCAACCCGCGAGGGGGAGCTAATCTCAAAAAACTAACCTCAGTTCGGATTGGAGGCTGCAACTCGCCTCCATGAAGCCGGAATTGCTAGTAATCGCCAATCAGCCATGTGGCGGTGAATACGTTCTCGAGTCTTGTACACACCGCCCGTCAAGTCACGAAAGCCGGTAATGCCTGAAACCAGTTGGCTAACCCGCAAGGGAGGCGGCTGACAAGGGTAGGATTGGCAATTGGGGCTAAGTCGTAACAAGGTATCCGTAAGGGAATTTGCGGATGGATTATTTTATACAAAAAACTAAATTGGCTCTGTCTAGTCTTGAAAGACGATAATGCCAATAAATTTGTTTCTCACTTGTCAAAACTGTGCGGCCCGACACCAAAATTATCGCGCTTCACGCACTAAGAAATCTCCAAGTCAAAAGTTAAGTTTACGCAAATATTGCCGTTTTTGCCGAAAAACTCAACCTCATAAGGAAGAAATCATTAAATAATTAAAAGAACAATAACTTATTCATAATGAAAACCATCAAGCCGATAAACAATTCTAGCCGTAATACTATTCTTATCGATTATCGCAAAAAATTGACCCCCAGTAGTAAAAAGACGCCCCAAAAACTACTTCGTATTATTAAGTCGCATTCCGGACGGAACAACCAAGGAAAAATTACTACTCGCCACCAAGGAGGACGGCACCGCCGATTTTACCGAATTATTGATTTTAAACGCTACCCAAAGGATGGTGTAGCCGGAAAAGTCACGAGTATTGAGTATGACCCGAACCGCAATTGTTTTATCTCTTTAATCAGTTATCGGGACGGGAGTTTTGGTTTTATTCTGACACCCGAAGGGCTAAAAGTGGGTGATATGATATTGAGCGGAGAAGACGAGAAAATTCCTATCCAGATTGGTAATAATTTACCGTTAAGTCTCATTCCGGATAATACTCCTTTACATAACCTTGAATTAAAGCCAAAAAAAGGTGGGGGGTTAATTCGTAGTGCGGGAACTTATGCGGAAATAATTGGCCGAGAAGAAAGTGGTAAATACGTGCTGGTTCGGCTCCAATCCAAAGAAGTGCGGAAAATATTAGCCAAATGTCGAGCCACAATTGGAAAAGTAAGTAATAGCGAAGCCAATTTAGTTAGATTGGGCAAGGCTGGTCGTAGTCGCTGACGAGGTGTTCGTCCGGCCGTGCGGGGCTCAGCCATGAATCCTTGCGACCATCCTCACGGAGGAAAAGAAAAGCAGCCTATTGGCCATGCTTCTCCACTTAGTCCCTGAGGAAAAAAAACTCTCGGCAAAAAAACCCGGAAGAAAAATAAACTATCTAATAAATTTATCCTCCGACGACGGAAATAAATAAATGTATATAATATAAAAATATAAATATATGAACGGTAGCAACAGCGAAATTAAAATTAATCAACTCGGAAAAGAAAGAATTTTTATTAAAGAGGAGATGGTAGATGGAAAATTAAAGTTTTTTAAAATTTCTATTATTGAGGATTCAAAAGGTGACATAGATAAATTAATTAAGAATAAGAAATCGACGGATATGAAAGATGGACCGGATGGCACAAAAATAATCACGATTACCGGTCCTCTCGTTAAGATTGTGGAATTGCCTGAATATGATGGTTATAGTAGAAACATACCAATAAATTTTGAAGTAAAAGAAGGTGGTTTTCTTTGGAAAGAACAAAGAAAATTGACTGGATTAACGGGCGAAGTCTATGATGAAAAAGTTGAGGAAAAACAAACTCAAATTCCTGATAGCGGTAATGGTTCGGAACAAACTCAAACTGTTGACAGTGGCAGTAGTTCGGAAGAAGTTAGCAATAGCACAGTTAAAGGAAAAATTAATTTCACATTTACAGACACGAATTATGAAGAAAGTAGTGATTGACCGTTAGGGTATACAATTGGAGTTTACAGTGGTAGTGGCATTGTTCTTGCACTTCTAGTATATTTCTTTTGATGAGTAATTAAAGAAGAAGATAGCACAGAAAAAGACGAGGAGGAAGAATTATAAAAATAAGATAAAGGAGGTCATTTGTCCCTCCTTTCGCGTTATCGCGTTATGCTAAAAAAATTAGAAAGAATTGAGGACTTTAATTCGTGATTAAACCAGAAGGACGGAAAAATATTGGTTAAGTTTGCTACGGAATGATGTCGTCCTTGCCAAAAATTAAAAGACAATCTTCAAGAGTTATTAAAGGAAAAAAATGACTTGGTGGTGATAGAAGTGGATGCAGAAAAGTTTCGGGAATTGGTTCAGAGGCCAGAATTTAATATTCAGTCCGTGCCAGTGCTCTTCCTTTTTCAAGAGGGCAAAAAAATTAAAGAAAATCGGGGTTATTTGAATAGTGAAGAGTTAAGAATATTCGTGTATAATTAAATTGTGGCCCGTTGGTGAAGTGGTTTAACACGTAGGGTTTTCATCCCTATATTTGGCAGGTTCGATTCCTGTACGGGTCACCAAATTAGTTTTTTTTAGTTCATTACGGAATTATTAAGCGGAGGAAGGTAGAGGTGTAGTTCAATGGTAAAACGTCGGCCTTCAGATCCGAAGTTGCAGGTTCGAGTCCTGCCATCTCTGCCAATTAGCAAAAAGAAAGAATAATTTAGAGCGGTGAGAAGTTTCGGAAAAATTTGTAGTAAGATTCACGACCTTCCTGAGCCTCAGGCGAATGATAATCAACAAATTTAATATCCAATATTTTCTCTTTTTCCTTATTTTTAATTTGGCCAGAATATTTATGGGCACAATAAAAATAGCCCTTTCAGTGTTGATTACCAAATTCTAAGTCAGCAAAAATAATATTATCGGTAATCATTAATTCCAAATCTTCCACTATTATATTAGTTTCTTCTCATACTTCCCGCCTAGCAGCCATTTCCGGAGTTTCACCATCTTCTATTCTCCCGCCCGGAAAATTCCAGCCTCATTTCTTATCTTGAACCAAAAGCACTTGTCTATATTCATTTTGAATAACCACACGAACTAAACTAGGTAATTTTTTTTCGTTAGTGGGTAGAAATCCTTTAATTATCCTGTAAACTTCGGCCAATAGTTTTTCTTCATCCTGGTTGGCATCGATAACCCAAATTCGGGTCGGAAAAATTTCTTTTAGTTGTAAATAGCGACTCCGAATGTGGGTATGAAAAGGTAAATCTAATTGGTCTCAATTAGCGTATTTACCATTTTCGGCTTTTCTTTTTCATAATCTTTTTTGGGCTGCTTGGGGGTCAAGGTCTAAAATAAAAGTTAAATCGGGTCGTGGTATGTCTCGTTGCAAAGCCATTGTAAGGATTTCATTAAAATCAGTCGCATTAGTGCTTCCCTGGTAAACCAGAGTGCTATCAAGATAACGGTCAATAATGACTACCTTGTTTTGTTGTAAGTTGGGTTTTATTATTTCCTCGTTTAAACTAACGAAAGCCGTCAAGAAGGCCAATATACGTTCTTGATTATTCATGGAATTTCCTTTCTCAATAATTTCTTGCCAAACTTTTTGCCCGGTGCGAGTATCTCGTCAACTGCAAGTTAGCAAGTCGAATTCCGCTTTTTTTACTAAATTTTTTAGGAGGGTGGATTTACCGCTTCCGTCAATTCCTTCCAGAGTGATTAGTAATGACATTATTGATATCTTTTTAAACTAAAAATGTTAATATAACCAAATTAGGAGGCGTGGTCGAGTGGTTAAAGGCGGTAGTCTTGAAAACTACTAATACGCAAGTATTCGGGGGTTCGAATCCCTTCGCCTCCTCCATTTAACCGAAAGCAAATTTATAAATTGTCAACTAGGAAAAATTGTGTATATTATTTATTAACAAATAGAAAATGAACCTGCTCTCAGAAATTACCGGCCAATATTTTCGCACTGACTTGCCTCAATTAGCCATAGGTGATAGAATCGAAATAATTACTAAAAATTTTGCTCCTCGAAGTCAGAGTGAAAAGCCTAAATATCGTCTTACTCATTTCCTGGGAACAGTAATCGCCCAAAAAAATAAGCGACAAATTAGTTATACTTTTTCGGTGTTGAAAGCCAGTAGTAAAATAGCCGTTACTAGTGTCTTTTCCTACCATTCTCCACTAATAGCCAGTATCAAAAAAATCGGTCGAATTAACCGTCCTGTTCGCCGGGCCAAATTGTACTTTTTAGAACGGGAAATGGCTCGAAAAAAGGATAACGAATAATATTACTAGCAAATGGAAAAATTTAGAAAAAACGGCAAGAGTAGGTTTGAGTTTAATTTTCGGGGTCGGGAAATGATATTTGAAATCGACCAAGTGGCTCGTAAGAGCGATAAATCGATTTTAGGTCGTTACGGCAAAACAGCCGTTTTGACTGTTTTAGTGGTTAAAGAATTAACCAAAAGAGTTAATTCATTTTTTCCTTTAACTATCACCGTAGAAGAAAAATTTTATGCAGTAGGGCGAATTCCGGCTCAGTTCAACAAACGCGAAGGGAAACCTAGTTATGATGCGGTTACGGTAGCCCGTTTAATTGACCGTTCTTTGCGAAGTTTCTTTCCCCTTTCCGGTAATCAAGAGGTGCAAATAATTAATCATATACTTTCAGTTGACCCACTTTGCGATCCTGGTCTGGTCGCCGCTTGAAATTCAAATCTTATTTGTTTTCTTTCCTCATCTTTACCTTACTTTTCTATTCCCTTGGCTACAACGGTGGTGGATGAAAGAACGGAGCAATTTTCAGGAGAACTAATCATTAGTGCTACCGAAGAAAAAATTGTTATGGTAGAGGCTAAGATTCCCGAAATTTCCGAAGAAAAGTTATGCTCGGTTTTAGAAAAGACTCATCAAGAAATTAGTTATTTAATCGGTTTTTTTCGGTATATTGCTAACAGTTTAGAAGTTAAGAAATGAGAACGGGAATCAGAGGAGCATGAAGAAGAAAATAAGTGATTGGAACAAAAGATTGATGATTATTTGCCCAACATTTTTGGAAGGACAGATTTTTCTTGGTGAAAAAAAGAACAAGAATGAGAGAAAGTCCGACGACAATTAATTCAGGAAAGCGAAGAAGAAATTACTGATTTGGTTAACAAAATTGGGAACAATGGTTTAAAAAAAATGCTGCGGGAAACGTGA